GCGGGGTGACTGTGGCTGCTTGGGGGTACCGAGAACGGTTCGCATGCAAAGTCGTCCCGAGTTTCGAGTGTTTTGTTCTATTTCTCTTGGGAGATATTTGGAAGTGGCTAACTCTGATTCGTTTGTAACTTTGTCTCTACCCCAACTCGCCAGCCCGGCTACACTCCCCCTTCCTCCCCATAACCTTAGCCACATCCCTTGGGCTTTGGTGTGGTGTACTTTTCTTTTTTGAGGCACAAAGGCAAGAACTCTATTTTGAAACGACTGGCAGTCCATCCGAAAAAATAAAAAAAGTTCTACAAGGCTTCATAGTTTCCACACTTGCTTTTTAAACAATCCTGTCTAGGTTGAGGCACTGGCTGTCTTCTGGTTGGTTGGTGTTGAATGATTGTAAAAGTGAGCCTAAGTGAAAACCATAGCCAACACAAGCATCAGATCAATTAAAAAGCTGATTTAAAAATCCATATCCCTCATGACCAGGCTGAAGGACACGCTGCCAAGGCCCATCCCAGCCCACAGAAAACGCTCAGGAGTGGCCCCTAACCCCGTGCTGTTGAGTCAAAAGGAGGTTCAAAAACGAAAAACTTTCATGGCATCCTGGATCAAAGCCTTTTCTTTTTATGTACTACAAAATTATGTCACCTTTGCTCCTACTAAGAGAATACTCTATAAATCTCCTCTTCCATTTGTTAGTCTATATCGCATTAATCTTGGACCCTGTACAGAGAATCATTCACATTGAGCATCCATTTGGGTGAAACTGCTTCATGGGACCTCTGTCCCCTGGAATTTAAGCAATGTGATAGTCCTAATACTTGAGAATTGATGCAATTATTTTCCATGGTTCAATATTTCAAAAAAAAAATCAATGTGTTTATGTCAAGGGTTTAAACAATCTTACTGAATTTAAATACTCAGGTGGTATTTTGAGAAAATTAACTTTTCCCTCACTTAAACTCATTTTGAATGCTGGGCAGAGTAAAAAGTGGCCTAAGATGCCTTTATCTGGAGACCAGGGAAACCTCCATGCTCAATTCAGCAGCATTACTGTTGATGGTTGATCACATGGGTGTGGAGGAGGCGTGTCCTCCCGCTATTGGATAGCAGGGTGTGGCTTACCTATTGGTGGGCTCCCTGCCATCTGCACAGATGGGCATGTTGGGGGCAGCCAGGAGACTACCCGCACATCAGACACGGTTGCCGAGGCCGCAGTTCACTGGCGGAGAAGTTGCAACAGCTGGCTGTCTGAAACAGGAGTTGTGCCTTCGCTGGCTCTACAAGATCGGAGCTGGTTAGCCAAAATGAAGTGAATCATTTCTTCCCTGACTTGAAAAATGAAATCTGCTTATTAGAGATGTGAAATTGCATTGAAATGGAATGTTTACACCTTAAATCATCAGAAACCCCAGTTGTACTTTTTAAAGCTTATGTAAGACGCCTTCCAGCCAAAAGAGCCTTCACAGCGAGCTCCACGTCTGTCTGGGCCTGCCCAGTTGTATCAGTTGTATCACTCAACTTTTTAGGACAGGAAGGGAAGGGACATTACCTTCAGTGGGTGTGGCTGAAAATGAGCCCAGGGAGTGAGTGCATTATGTAACTCATCACTAGGCTCTGGGCTGGGCTGTATAAGAGTACCTGTGTTGTGGGCTCGTGGGTGTGTTCAACAAGAGTGTGTGTGTGTGAGTGTATGTGTGTGGTCTTTTAGGAGGTCTGATGGCAGATTAGGGAGGCTGCCCACCTGTACCCATGGCCCTAGCGAGGCTCATTCAGCTGTGACTAATCAGGAAAATTACCATTTTCTGACTCATGAGAACAATGTGCAGATTGCAGTCCACCTCATTCATATCTTCCTCCTGGAAACACTTCGGAACACTTCCCCATCTTGGGAAAACCAAGAACTGTACCAACCAGTACACATTGACATCTTTATTATTATTTTTTTTTGGAAAATTACAGAAGTGGAAAAAAAAAAGATCTTTGCACATCTTCATAATTTAGTGTATGTTTAGGAATGTGGAAAAAACATCTCCTTTGACGTTAATTAAGAGCACTGCACATGCCATTGTATTCATGGAATATGGCTTTGTCATCAGGCCACAAAGGAAGCTCTGCTTTTGGACTGTCCAGTGGCCTAAAGCCCATGTCTGTTGCTCTGCGGTGCACTTTTGACCCAGAAATTTGGATTCAGAATGTTTCTGTGAATTAACTATACAGAAATTTTTGAGCAACTCTCAGCTAGCCATCACCTCAGAAAATGTTCAAGGTATGTTTCCTTTTTCTGGGCCAGTCTGTGGCCCGGTGGTTAAGTGAGACAAATCCCAGATGGCTGGTGGTGCGGTTCAAATCTCAGACCTGGCATCTTTTTTTTTTTTTTTTGGAGAGGTTTTTGCTATAGGGCGCGTGCGCTTGCCAGACAGACAGAGAGAGACAGAGAGACAGAAAGCAAGAAATCACCCCCCCCGGGGGATGGCCACACCGCAATCCCTTCTCCTCCATTCTCCTCTTGGGATCTTGGGCACACACGCACACGCGCCCGGCGTGAGTTTAAGCCACTGGGTCTGGGACACGAACTGCGGTCGGCTACGTGGGAGTGACATAGCCATTACACTAACTACTGCAGACCTGGCATCTTGAGAACCACTCTGGGCACATGTGCCTGTGTGTTTCAAATGCCAACAAGATAGAGAAATGGAGGAGAAGGGATTAAGGCATGACCGCACCCCATGGGGGGGGTGCTTTCTCCTCCCTGTTTGTCTGTCCCTCTGGCAGAGGAAAGATACTGATTTAGGTAGCTGTCTTTCCCCTGACTTGCATATGACTTGTGAGTAACTTGCAGATATTACAAAGGAATAGACTTAGAACTTTAGAAATCTGATAGATGCCGACTGCTTCATTTCAGTGAAGGCATCGCATGCCTTTATAAAGCTTGGACTCCATTTCAAATATGCTTTCTGGGCAGGTAACCTAATTCATTTTACCGGTCATCAGATTGTTAGAAGTCCCCTGGCTGAAACCACACAATGCAACCAAACAAAAATGAAAAGGGCTGGGATAAAAATAAAACATGGACATTTTGGTAGAGGCAGAGAGGTTAGGGAAAGGTCTGGGGTCCAGGACATCATCCCGGGGCAAGTGTGTGGAGGCCACTCTAGTGGGAAATATTTGGACAATCCAAGACTTCTCTTTAGAGAGAAAGAAGCCCCATGAAGCAACGTGTGGAGGACATGGAGAAGTGTAGAAAGCAGACAGATGCAAAGCTGAAAGCCACCTCCTTCACGGTTTTCCCCGGGGGGCCACAGCTTTACCAGTGGTTTGAAATGTCTATGGAGGCCAGGGCATGATTTGATAAAGGGGGGGGCTGGCCTCTAGGGAGTAACTCTGGAATGCATGGCCCATCTGAACAACATCTCTGCCTGACCCTCAGCCATGGATACATCTGCCATATTACCATAGTGTCTGGTAATTTGTAGCATAGAAGCTGCAAATTCAGAATTTTGTAAAGTCTATTTTTATTTACTTATTTCATGAAAGAAAGATGGGGGAAGGGGAGAAAAAAAGACAAACACCCTCGACAGATCCCCAGCCTTTCAGCCCCAGGGTCATGGCCATGTCTACCCCTGTTGTGTATGGGCTGACTGGGAAGCCGAGCCACAGTCTTCCTTAAGATCCAGCTTTGCAGAGCAGTCGCGCACTGTGGCTGGCCCGGACATCCAGATTTTTATGCCATCTCCACCAGTTTTTAAAAGTGTTCTGATCATTGCTGAAGAGCCAAATACCTGCAGGTCAGCTGTTCACAGCTGCTCTGTCATGACCCTCACAGTGGTGTCCTGTGAACCTCTGTGTTCCGCCTGCTCAGGTGCCAGCAAAAAAACAGCCAGCTCTGAACCCTGGAAATGACACAAGATTTTTCTGGTACACCTTTCTCTCCCAATGGGTCTCCCTTTTCAGCCATGGAATCTCCAAGCTACTAGGACAGAAAACCTGCCTCTGGCTGCTACTGTTCAGAGTTATCTAAACAGTAAAGTAGATGGTTTCTTGAGTGTTGAGGCTGCAAACTGAACTTCCCTTTCCTACCCTTCAACTCCCTTCTCAAGGGAAAATGCTTCGGCCCCCAGTGTTTATTGCATGACAGAGTTCTCTTATTCCTTCCCAGTTGAATCTCATGAATTCAAGTTGTGTGTAATAAGAACACACAGGCTTTTTTTTTTTTTTTTTTGAACCAGAAGTTGGCATAGTGACTATGTCATTGGACTCCCATGTGGTCGACAATGGTTCGAGTCCCGGACCTGGTGGCTTAAACTCATGCTGGGCATGTGTGTGTACGTGCCCAAGATCCTGAGAGGAGAATGGAGGAGAAGGGATTGTGGTGTGGTCATCCCTCCTGGGGGGT